AAAAAAAGAGGCTAATGACTAGAGATTAAAGGAATATTAAAAATAAAATAATTGAGATTAAAGGAATCCTAACTAGTGAAGGGATGGCAAAAGGAAAGAAGAAAATGCTATTGACAAGCATTTAACAGTGTTATGGGCCATGGTGGTAGTTCTGGGTCAGCTATTTTAGCAGCTCAATGGGCCATGCACGATGATCCCCCTCTCGCCTATCTTTTAAGGGAGCAAGGGGTATTCTTTAGATAAACTTGGGATCACACTGTGGTGTAGCCATTCTCCATTTCTAAATCCAATCTCAACATTTTCTGAATTTTCAGTTGATCAGTAGAAATCCAAAATCTTATATGGTCTGGTTGATATTATATAGTATGTTTGGAGAGGAAATATGCTTCGTCATCTAAATATTAAAGCAGCGTTCTTGCAATTCAATGAAAAATGGTCAGAACAATATAATTTATGTTACCCCAGCACTTACTGAACCTTATAATTTAATTTAATTTAATAAATTAATTCAACATAGGAGGGTAATTATTTAATGACATTTTTTTTTAAATGTTTATCTGACCTTCGTGGTCTGAATCTTCAAGTATTTGATTGACTATTACTCAATAGAAACCATATGGATTAGTACATTTAATAATCCAAAAAAATCTGTCGTATAATCTTCAAAGATTATAGAAGTAAATCCCTTCAATTTTTATATTGCTAATTAAGCAATGACAATCTGGGAGATGACCATGTGCAATCAAGTTTAGTTGACTTCAATTTTGTATTGCCAAGCATGTTTATCCATAGCTAGGAAAAGCAAATAATATATGCAATAATTTGCAATAGTTTTGACTTAACTTTCTAGATTTAAACTTTAAACCACTATTCAAAAATATTTATTAAATTCTCTTAACTACAACAATGATGTGGAAAGTATTCCATTTGAGAAGGAAACTTATGGGTTTAAAGGATACCCTTGTTGAATTAAAAAAAAAAAGAAAAAAAAGACTAGTTTGGATTTCTCATAGTATATATATGCATGTATTCAGATCAGATATTAATATATTGGGAAAAAAAAATCATTATGAATTTTTCACAATAAATATCATTTAAAAAGAATTTATTATAAGATGATAAATTTCTACAGTTCAAAATTGAATATGTTCAATAAAAATCTCATAAATTGAGCAATATATTCGATCATTAATCAATAGACAAACAATGGATGTCTATGAGGTAATTTTGACGTGCGTTTTTATATACATTCATAAAATGTCAACTCTGTACCTGCAAACCCTACGCATTGATTACACAAATCTTTTCTAGACATAAAAATATAAGAACTTTGTTATAAAAAGATCGTTGCGTTTTTTGTCTTTTTTTTTCCTTTTCAGAGAGATTATGTTTTATAAGCTGTCCTCTCTCAAATCGTAGTGCATAAGAAATAAGGAATGCATGAAGGGGAAAAAAAAGAGAAAAGAAAATGACAGAAATCAGATCATATGGAAAGCTTTTGTGATTGCTAATACAATTATCCACGAACCAAAAATTTCTAATGCCTGGATTTCTTGTTTTCGTGGGGAGTGAAAGTGAAGAGGACCTAGAATATTTAATTTGTGAACCTATAGTCCAATCTGAATCCAATCGAATTTACTTTCTTTTCACTTACTTCCTTTGAATCCAATCGAATTTATCCGTGAAGCATGAAGAAGCTGAATGAAGCTATAGCCTTAAAGACTTCTTGAACATGATCGTTTATTGTAGAAGGTAGGTTGTCTACTTGTATGAAGTCATGTATCGATCAAGATACATCTAGACTTTTTCTACTGTTAGAATTCCATGTTGAACACAAACACATATACCAAACTACTCATGTCTATTGAGACGTGTTAGGACTTTTGCGCTTGACTCTTTAATCCTTTTTTATGAACTAGGCTCATCTTCTCTCTGGTTCTTGTTTCTAGTCCGCGCCACTCTAGGCTTCTCAATGAAATCTAACATCTACAGTCTATGTTTATCCTATATCTTTGATTTCTCTATTCACAGTCATAACTGAGTTATGCTTACGTTGAGATTTAGATCTATATATTTTCCATCAAGTATAGAAAATAGCAATCTTATAACATATAACTAATTGTTATATATACAATCGCGATTAACTTTTTAAATTATATGATTTTACGAGTCAATATGTATTTAATTTGTAAAATCGGACTAAAAACTCGAAACTAGTAAAATCAAACTTAACTCGTTCAAAATTAATAAATTCAGTAAACTTGATTCAATTTTACAAGTTTACTAAATTTATAATATGAACTAAGTGACGTCCAAATTTGAATTTAAAATATCTTTTGACTAGTTTTGCGAGATTGAATATATCTTTCACACTAAACATTAGATATAGCTAAAATTTTTCAGGGAAATATTAGATAAAAAAATATATTGTGGTAAATTTTCAAGGTAATTGGAGTTCAGGACCATAATATTTTTGAGGGTCAAAATTAGTAGACGAATCTTATTAAATATATCAAACTAAACCTTCATGTATTGTTCAATACATATTTGAAGCTACCAGTGGAATTTTGCTACGATTAAAATTAGGTTAGAAGCTAGACATCTAAAGCTTTCCAACCATATATCATAAGCTCAATAATTTATCCAGACAAGAGAGAATGACATGTTTTAAATCAGGACTCAAATTTGCCAAAATATATGCAAAAATTGGAGATTCGGGCTACATGGAAAAATTTTAATTAACATGAAGACTTTTTTATTATTTTATTTATTTATTTTTGAACAATTGTTTTTAATTTGAATGTTTTTTAACACATTAAACATTGTTTATGGAATTTATTTTATTATTGAATTTATATGAATTAATTACTAATTTAGGCTTATTAGCTTGTAACTCGAAAAGAGTCCATTAAAAATTATTGTGATGGGAACAAAGAAGTTGTCATTAGGTTCATGTGTATTTCCTACCTTTTAGTGATTTTCTTGTATTGAGAAGTTTTGTTCTAAAATTTTTTATTTCTCCATGTTATTAATTTATTGATTTATACTATCTATTTCTCTCATTTTATTTAGATCATTCATTGATTATAATATTGTTGAATCACTGTATTAGATTTTAATGTAATTTAATTTTGTAGCTAAAATTGTCAATATATAATTAGTTACAAAAATTATTTATGATTTTGCAATTTTACAATCCGAGTTTATGACTCGAGTTTATATTGTTTTTTTTTATCATGTTTTAAAAAATAATTTTAACAACCTTGGTGTAGCTCTTTCTATTCATTCATGTTTGGTGTCTAATGTTTGTTTAGACAAGGCATTTTTGAACAAAAATAGAGTAATATACAACCAGGTTTATTTTTCTTTTCTAAAAAAAGAAGAAGACGAAGCAATGTTTCTGAAGCTAGTTTCACATGTTGTACTCTTGCCATGCCATTATTATTGGCAAGCAAAAATATTTTTCAAAGTCTTATTATTTAGAGTTTTGATAGAAATATACATATATAGAACCTTATTATTAATTATTCTTCTTTTTATTTGTAATAATTAATATATTTTTTTCTTTTAATGGATTGTCGTACCCTATCGAGAGCACAACGTCGCGGCGACCCTTTCTGGAGCGAGGAATTGATTTTGAGGTGTTTGTTTTTATGAAAAAGAGAGTTGTTACCTAGTATTATGGTCACTAGGAAATCTAACTGATCTTTCAAAGATTCTAAGGCAAGGGACTGGTTATGTAAAGAGAAGGTTTTAACACCCCTAGTACTCCCTACTTAAGGTAAGCTAGTTGGTGTTTGGTTTGCCTTATAATTTCTATGGTGTTGATGTTCTCTAATCCCATCAGTTTTTCTAGGATAAGTTTGCTATGATGAATGAACTTGGGCTCAAAGTCTAAAAGAGAGAACCCTTGACCAATATCGATTATACCTTTAGATATATCTATAGAGTACTAAGGAGAACCGATGCAGATCTCTTGAAATCTGTATTTGATTTGAACTAAATTTAACCTATAATTTAAGAGACAACTAATATAGAAATCTAAGGAGATTCAATGTGTTTAAAAGCTTATTTTCCCCTTAATATTTCAGGTGTTCGCGACTCGTAAATCGCAAGGAAAAGAAATAAAAAACTAAGTGAGAAATCTAAGAAAATTCAAGGTGTTTTAAAAATTCATTGTTGTCTGAGTATTTTATATTTTCATTACTCATAAACCATAAAATAAAAATTTAAAATGTCCCTAATTATAATTGAAATTTCTTTCAATGACGTGCAATTAAATTGTTCTAAATAACATTTTAGGCATAAATCTATCCTTATGTTAAAAATAAATATATTTATATTACTCTTAATAATATTTTGGATATTTACCTTTAATAAATTTCTTTATCCTTATATTATTAAGGGATAATAACTCTTTCTATATAAGTGGAGTTTATTTATTCAATATGGATGACTCTTTCTCAAATTTATAAGTTTATGGAGTTTATTTATTTAATATGAATATGTTCATCAATGTCCCTCACTTGTAGCCCGTCTCTCGGCCTCTGTCAAGTGACTTGGGCTTCAGAATATTTTCTAGGACATGAGACCTCATAACGGCTTGATATCATATTAAAATTAATTATTGAAATCAAATTCCATCCAAAAAAAACTGAAACCTTACAATGGCCGTTCCATTTAAACTTCAGCCTTAGAGGACCAGCAAGCTTTAATTCAACAAAAAGAAACAAGCTAGTTTTGTTTGACTTCAATTTTTATATTGCTTAGCATATCCATATGGAGCTTCATTTAAGCAACTGTTTTCATCCACATCCATTTTCCAATGCCAAAAAATTATGATAAGAACAAGTACAACTAGCTTTCATTGACTTCAATTTTGTAGTGCTAAACAAATATATAATAATGCATTTACGATATGAACAGTACAACTAGGTTTCATTGACTTCAATTTTGTAGCGCCAAACAAATTCTACACGGCATGATTACATTCCCCACAAATGCAACGATTTGATAGTTGTGATTATGATGTGAACATCAGTAGAGAACACATCCCATTCATGATCTCTGCCCTTCGTTTCCCTTGGACTCAAAGTATGGAATTGTTAATATCCATTTTATTTTCAACTTTTTTGCTGTTATCTAGCCCTTGCGATGCTGACAGTAATTCCGATCTCGGTTCGCAATGTACCGAAGTTGAATACCAAGCCAATCTGAGCGATCTGCTGAATTCACTTGTTGCCAATGCGCCTATCCAAAATGGCTTCTACACGACCGCAGCAGGTAAAGGTGCTAACAAGATTTATGGCCTTACACAATGCAGAGGTGATATTTCTGCCACAGACTGTGCAGCCTGCATCAAGAATGTTACCGTGGTACAAGGCTGCTCAAACAGTATAGGTGCTACGCTTTGGTTTCAGTGGTGTCTCGTAAGGTATTCAGACCGGAGCTTTTTCGGTGCATTCGATCAATCAGGAATAATGGCAACTTACAATGACACCAATTTTGAAGATGCAAAAGTGGTTTCTGAAGGACTTAACTTCACAAAAACGCTTGCTTCTAAAACTCCTAACCAGCCTTCGATGTTCTATACCGCAGTATTGGATGTTGGACAGAGTGGGAAGAGGTATGGCATGGCTCAATACACTAGAGATCTCAGCAAGAGTAACTTGTTGGGAATTCCGACCGGTGATGTTCTGATACTTGCTTATAGGAGGGAAAGCACACTGACACAATATTTTATGTGGTTCGGCAAATCACCTACATCCACGGGAGAAACCATTGCATTATATAGGGAGAGTACAAGATTTACAACAATAGAGGAGGAGGAATCATCCTCTCTTTGAGCAACTCTCAACCTCACTCTATTTCTCTCTTTTTAGTGCTGCAATGGCAGCCCACTCTCTCCTACATTTCTCACATCTTTGGCTCTTTTCCTTCTCTCATTTTGCTCTCTCACATATGCCTCTATTTATAGGCATTCATGGAGGCTCTTCTTGCTTTGTTGTCAATATTGGTGGCCACCAACTCTAGCTCATTCAACAATGGTGGCTACCAATAGTCAATGGTCAATGGTTGGTGCCTTACATGAAATGACAACCAACCTAACAATCACCCCCTTTGCCATTCATATGGGGCAACTGTCCTCTTGCTTCTTCAACACAAGCTTGCATCTTGCAGCTCTTCCAAGCTTTCCATTCTGAAAGCATCTTTGGCCAAGTTTATAGGTACTCGCCAAACCTTTCAATCATCAGAGTAACCAAAACACACCTTTTCTCACATAAAAGGATCACTATAACCAGATGGTCTACCACATCACATCTGAATAGTGTTAACGCTTGTCTCTGGAACAACATTCCCCTTCGAGCGTATCAACCATGCTTGATCCGGAATGATTCATCAAGCCTCACATCAAGGCTTATAACACCCCCCTCAAACAGATATTTCAAGTGAGACAGTTATTATCTGAGTATCTCAATATGATCACAAGCTCACCACTCTTCCAAGAGTCTACTAATCCAGGAGTTGCGTCTGCCCTCTGTTCCACCCTAGGAACCACGCCTTCTCCATGAGTCTCCCACTCTTAGTCTCAAGAGTCCAGGTAGCTTTCCACCTTTAACCATGGGGGCAACCCATAAAAGGTTGATCCATATCTGTCTTCATACTCTAAGTATTACAATGCCATTACCGAGCTCACCACCTTGACAAGAGTCAACTTGTTCCCGGAACCTGTGCATGCTCTCTGCTCCTTCATAACAGCCGCGTCTTAATGCTCCACAAGTCATCCATTTATTGTTCAAGGCGAATGTCTTCTAACTCATTGATCTTTAGCATGGGAGCAATATCTATGAAAGTCAATCCTGTATTTGTCTCCATACTCATCATAGCCACTTCATTGGCTATACACTTGTCCACTTACATCCAACCATCACATTGGCTCTAGGGCGTTCTGAAATTGGGCTCCTATCATGGCCCTCACACCTTCTTTTGAGGTGTCTCCTCCTGTCATTATGAGTTGATTTGAACTTGGACTCATATCACGGTCCTCACACCTTCTCCTAAGGTGTCTTCGCTTGTCGTCATGAGACGGTCTAAACTTGGACTTATATAACGGTCCTCACACCTTCTCCTGAGGTGTCTTTGCTTGTCTTCATGAGACGGTCTGAAATTGGACTCATATCATGGTCCTCACACCTTCTTCTAAGGTGTCTCCACTCATCGTCATGCGGCAGTTTATACTTGGGTTCCTTTCATGGCCCACACACCTTTTATCTGAGGTGTCTTTGTTCGTCATAAAGCAGTCACATCCTCCTTCATCGGGGATGTCTCCAGTGATTAAGATTCTCTATCACCATATGGACTTGGGAGAGTTCATTGCCACTGATCACATAGAAAGAGAAAGTTGTGATATACTCCTCGCAATCCTCCACCTCCATTTCTATGTTTGGAGCTTCTACGCCTTTTCTGTTTAACAGCTCCACCTACACCAACTCTTTTGGTGTCTTCGCCTTTCATCATGGGCAGTCGCCTTTTATCAAAGGCGTTTGCACCCCCTTAATTAGGTGCATCTGCAACAGCTCATCCTTCCATCCTTGCATGCATTGAAAGGTCCTTGCTTGTTGCCTTTATCAAGAGCATAAGAGACTTCTTGTTGTACAACTTTTTCATAGTCTCTGCTCTGAGCTTCATCTGGGAACACTTATTCTTCTCGCACTTGCTGTCTCATTACAGTACCTCGTTGGATCCTCCAAGTACTCCTACACAATCTTCGTGTGCTCTCGTGCAATTTTGGTTCTCTAGATTTCTCCCTATTCTTTGCTTATGTTTGACAGCAGCTCATCCTGTCACAACATCTATCCAAGTCAAAATAGGGTGCCAATCTTTATCCCTTTACTGTATTTCTCTTCCATTATCAGGGTCTTCATCAATTCTCCCCTCGAGAAATTACAGTCACCGAATCTAACTTCCTTGGAGAAATCACCACTCCATCAGATCCTTGATCATACGGAACCCAACTGTTCCTTTATACCGTCATTCTGCTAGTCTTCAACAATTTCATAACAAACTGTCACATATACGAAAATAGTACCGTATGGATAATCCTTCCACTAAGTAAGTTCCCAGGAAAGATTGGAGGGGTCACAACGGTCCCGCTTAAAACCCAATTTCCTAGCCAGAACTTCTTAGGCCATATCTATCCATCGTACTGTCTTTTCGTATATACAACCATTTGCTAGCTTTGTCGCGGCTTTCCTTTACAAGTGATCTGTGGTATCCTTGTTTTATACCTGATTTCTCAACATCTGGCGAGACTACCAGTGCTTAGATTCATCAAGATTGGTCTTCATCAAATTTCACTCTCCACCTCAAATTGTCCAAATGATCGGGTGTCCAGAGTGTCCCAATTTTACCTTCCCTCAAGACAATTAAAATTCCCCACATAATAGTTCAACACATGTAATTGGGCAAACATATGTAATTTCTTCTTCTTCAGCTCCATCGACCACCATGATGACCATCAGATGCCTCCTGATCGGGCAATCTCTCTTTAATAATTCACCATCACCATTTCTGATCTCAATCTCAACGATCGGACCATACCATTGCATCCGGAACGATCAAATTAGTTGAAACAAGTCTGAAATCGTCCAAATCACACTTTAGACGGCTAAGATTTGATCAAAACAATTCTGGCCTGATAAACGGCCCAGATTCAATCTCAGAACCAGTTGCACATAGACTCCGCCACACAGAATCCTGTCCCTCGGCTCGCGGCTCGGCTCAGCTCCAACTCAGCTCAGATCGGCTTTGAATCTACAAAATCTAACCTTACAGATGTGTCCGGAATGGCCAAAAATATTAGAAACGACACTAAGATCACCCGAATCGGACTTCGGATGACTCAGATTTAAACAATCAAACTTTGGGATCACTGGACGCTGCAGATGACGCCACGTGGTAGGAGGAATAATCGCTGTACCACACTAGATCAAAACCCAGGGAGCTGACATGGTTGTGATGACGTGTCACCCACGCAGGACATATAGGGTCAACCAAATCTAACGTGGCAGTCCCAGGGGATTTTCGACTGACGTGGCAGAGTTGACGTGGCCAGTAACGTGGTAGTTTGACTGGTCAGAGTGCTGATGTGTCAGGTGACGTGCCTGATGACTGTGCAGAACTGCTGACGTGCCTAATGACATGGCAGTTTGACTGGTCAGAGTGCTAATATGTCAGGTGACGTGTCTGATGACTGTGCAGAACTGCTGACATGGTTGATGACGTGGACAGTCACCCTACCATCGCGTGCGACGATTTCCGACGTCTTATTTTGACGCGGTTTTCACCAGTGGCTTTGTCTCTTCCTCCTCTACACAGTGATATAGTCAAAACATAATTTTGACAACTTTTATTTTTGAGCAAAATCAAACACCACTTTAAACCAAAAGCTCTGATACTAATTGTTGGGAATTCTAACCGGTGATGTTCTGATACTTGCTCATAGGGGGGAAAGCACACTGACACAATATTTTACGTGGTTCGGCAAATCACCTACATCCACGGGAGAAGCCATTGCATTATGTAGGGAGAGTACAAGATTTACAACAATAGAGGAGGAGGAATCATCCTCTCTTTGAGCAACTCTCAACCTCACTCTATTTCTCTCTTTTTAGTGCTGCAATGGCAGCCCACTCTCTCCTGCAGTCCTCACATCTTTGGCTCTTTTTCTTCTCTCATTTTGCTCTCTCACATATGCCTCTATTTATAGGCATTCATGGAGGCTCTTCTTGCTTTGTTGTCAATATTGGTGGCCACCAACTCTAGCTCATTCAACAATGGTGGCTACCAAAAGTCAATGGTTAATGGTTGGTGCCTTACATGAAATAGCAACCAACCTAACATAACTGTGACAAGTGCTTGTTCTAATTGGTGACATCTTTAAATATTATTGGAAATAAGAGAAGTTGGGATATTTATGGATCTAGTTGTAGAATGTGGTACTATGACTACCTGTTCTACTTCAACTATTCAACACCTGCTGCGAAGGGAAATGAGTTTTGTGAATTATTCAAATTATTGCTCTCTGTCTCTTTGTTTGTTTGAAATGTGATATTTTTTATTTATATTTTTTTTTGGAATTGTCGATCGAATTCCTGATTTGAAGAGTATTTGGAAATGCACACTAACCTGTGTTTTGAAAAAATTCAAAGTTTGTTTTTTTATTAAAAATTATTTTTTTTTGTATGTTTTGGATTATAATTGAGAATAATAAAATGTGATAGGTTATACCTTAACTAATCTTTACATTTATATTTATACATAGGATACCACAGTAATTATTGAAATTACAATATTAAAATAATTCTATATTAATTTTTTATTTTCATATATACATGTTATACATTTTATAATAATTATTTTGATGAGTTGATTTTAAAAATAATTTTTTAAAAATAAAAATATATTATTTTAATATATTTTAACATAAGAAATATTTTAAAAATCACATTTTCAAACATACTTTATCCTAAATTGAAATTGAAATATTCTTGTCACTCGGCAAAATTGCAGGTTCCACAAGATCCTCGCCACATCGAGTTGCAATTGGCGTGGCCTTTCCAGTGCTAGTGTTTCTGTTAGTTCTTTAATATGCTATTGAATAACTTCTTTTGTTCATGGAGAAATGGAGATATTGTTAGTATTGAAATATGTATTCATTTAACTGTACATTAAATATTATGTAGTATTTCTCTCCCTTTTCATTTTCTTTTTTTGAGGAGTTACACTATATGTATTTCTTTTAGGATATAGATTAAGCCTCTTTAACCTTGTTGGGTATATTTTGAAAAAAAAGTGGCAATTTTTTTTTTTTTGGGGGGGTTGTTAAGTGATTATTTCTTTTATAATTATTTTTCCCCTTTAGGATACAAACATCCATTATATAATTTTTATGATTATATTTAATTTAAACATTGATTACTATTTATTGAACCTCTTACACACATATTTTTTTACACATTTATCAAACATTCACAACAATTTATGTTTTAAAAGTTTTCTACACCCTTAACATATTATATGTTTATTGATTGAAATTATGTTTGACAATGGGAATTTTTTATATTTATAACAAAAGTCATGTTTTTTCTAAACTTTTTTCCGAGGGTTCATTGAATTTTTTCTAATAAATAGCAGAAAATTG